TTTTATTTTGCTCATTTGCACCCCAGTATCTCTATTTGCACATCATCTTTTGCACATCTATCATTCCAGTGTTAATACGAAATTGTAACTATTTTGCACTATGGCCTATTTATTGCCTTACCTCCATAACTTACTACATTCGCACGCACTGTATATATATTTTCTGTTTGTATTTTTACTTTATGTTTTGTTTACCCCATATGTAACTCTGTGTTGTTGTTTTTATCGCACTGCTTTGCTTTATCTTGGCCAGGTCGCAGTTGTAAATGAGAACTTGTTCTCAACTGGCTTACCTGGTTAAATAAAGGTGAAATAAAAAAATAAAAAAAAATAAAAAACTGTACCTAAACAGATAGTTCACTCAAAATGCATCAACATCTAATTTCTGTACTGAAAGTGCTCCATCTTGAAAACTTGACTACTGACATGCAAAAATGTTTGGGATCATATTAACAGTGGACTTACAGACAAAAAATACTAAGACAGTTTTTGAGTGAACCATCACATTACATTTCTGGACACAACCCAAATTAGTAAGGGTTTAGGTATAGTTTGCTTCCATTTGGTGACATAGCCTTTCTTCTGCCACTATTAGGCTGAGTTTACACAGGCAGCCCAATTCAGATCTTTTGCCAATTATTTGCATATCTGATACCCATTTGAACTTCTCCCTAATGTGTAAACATCAACAACAACAAAAAACACATGGAATCTGATCTTTTGACTTCCGATTTATAGCACCAATCCTGATACAAACCCCATCTTCCATATGCGACCTCTGTCTGGAGGCTCAGATCAGATATTTTTGCTCTGAAGTGTTTTGTGTGTGTTTTTTTTTGCACAGGATCTGCCGTTACCATGACAACCACCCCAACATTTAAAAGAACAGTGACAGGAAATGAACATTGAATCTGTGTACTGGTTCAGAGGCTACATCAGTGTGAATACGCAACTCTGATATGGGTCATATGTAAAACTGAGTGTGGACTTTCAGAAGAAAAGATAGGATATAGAACGAAAATCCGTTTCGGGTTCTTAGGGTGGCTGTGTCAACACAGCCTTAGGCTAAACAGCAGATTCATATGCATTATTCAAGTTTTGAAAGTGATTTGAACTCTAAATTCCAAATGACACCAGTTGCACTTTAACCTGTAGTTTAGGGGGCATGGACAAGAGGACCACAACAAGCAGTACCACAGGGTCGTGTTCATTACGTCATGTAACTCAAAACATTTGGTGCCTGATGAACAGGACCCTGGTATCATAGCACTGGTTACATGTGAAAGGACTCCCTTTGCTGCCACTAAGTGTAATTTAAGTTTATTTAACTAATTGACAAGCTCGGGTATTGCAGTGAAAGTCGGTTGAATCCCTGGGGTAAATTCTGACCTGATTAGATGGGATTTGAGGTGCTTTCTGCTAATTAAAAGGAGGTATATTAATTTGTGGTGAATGACTGTGAACCTTCACAATTCAGCTACAAGGATACAGTACATGTCTAGCTAATATAGCTTCAGGATAATTATTTGGGATTTTAATGTTTGTTAAACAGTTTCTTCCCTCTTGCTTAAAAATCAGGTCAATTATTTTGAAGTGTTTGTCTGACATTCAGTCAAGGCAATGCAGTTGTGACTGCTATATGGCTCAGTTGGTAAGAGCATGAAGCAAGCAACATCTAGGACTAGGTTGTGGGTTCAATTCCCGCAGGGAATCAAATACACATACTGTAGGTTGCTTCGGATACAAGTGTCTGGTTACATTTACATTTTACATTTTAGTCATTTAGCAGACGCTCTTATCCAGAGCGACTTACAGGAGCAATTAGGGTTAAGTGCCTTGCTCAAGGGCACATTTACGTCATTTAGCAGACGCTCTTATCCAGAGCGACTCACAAATTGGTGCATTCACCCTATAGCCAGTGGGATAACCACTTTAAAAAAAAAAATTTGGGGGGGGGGTAGAAGGATTACATTATCCTATCCCAGGTATTCCTTAAAGAGGTGGGGTTTCAAATGTCTCCGGAAGGTGGTGAGTGACTCCGCTGTCCTGGCGTCGTGAGGGAGCTTGTTCCACCATTGGGGTGCCAGAGCAGCGAACAGTTTTGACTGGGCTGAGCGGGAACTATGCTTCCGCAGAGGAAGGGGAGCCAGAAGGCCAGAGGTGGATGAACGCAATGCCCTCGTTTGGGTGTAGGGACTGATCAGATCCCGAAGGTACAGAGGTGCCGTTCCCCTCACTGCTCCATAGGCAAGCACCATGGTCTTGTAACGGATGCGAGCTTCAACTGGAAGCCAGTGGAGTGTGCGGAGGAGGGGGGTGACGTGAGAGAACTTGGGAAGGTTGAACACCAGACGGGCTGCGGCGTTCTGGATGAGTTGTAGGGGTTTAATGGCACAGGCAGGGAGGCCAGCCAACAGCGAGTTGCAGTAATCCAGACGGGAGATGACAAGTGCCTGGATTAGGACCTGTGCCGCTTCCTGTGTAAGGCAGGGTCGTACTCTCCGAATGTTGTAGAGCATGAACCTGCAGGAGCGGGTCACCGCCTTGATGTTAGCGGAGAACGACAGGGTGTTGTCCAGGGTCACGCCAAGGCTCTTCGCACTCTGGGAGGAGGACACAACGGAGTTGTCAACCGTGATGGCGAGATCATGGAACGGGCAGTCCTTCCCCGGGAGGAAGAGCAGCTCCGTCTTGCCAGGGTTCAGCTTGAGGTGGTGATCCGTCATCCATACTGGTTAGAGGCATATACTGTTATATAAGGCAACAGTCAGAATATTTGTGATATCTCTCAATGTAGAGAAGCAATAGTTGAAATATTTTACATTTGAACTGACATTTTGATTTTGCTCAGATGCAAGCAGGTCTAAAAGTGTAGAGTGTTTGAGGAAGATTCTGCTGGGGAATTGCGTTGTAGTATTGTGTTCCTCTACCGCCATCTGCTGTATACAGAGGACAATTACACACAGTGCAGTAGATATTCGCTGCCTGCTGTGTGTTGGTTGTTGACTTAAAGCTCTATTGTGCTTAACTCATTCGACCACAAGTCAGCCTGAGGTATGACTGACATACTGCAAATCAAATTGATTAATGAAATTGAGTAAATATTCACAAAAAAAGGTAGCCACATAACACCTTTATTTTCTAGTAAGGCGTGGAACATTTGCTCCCATCTTTCAACTTTCCTCAGTTATGCATATCCAAGAGCACAGCTATACAAAATAAATATAATTAGCCGACAAATTACCTCACAAACATAAGGAGACAAACATAGTTTCCAAATATATGAATTGTACGTTTGCTAAATATTTGCTCCAAACGTTAATTATCACAAGATAAGCTTGGACATTTGTCAGAGTTTTGAAAAGTCTTGCGGTACAGTGTTTCTACACAGACAACGTGATTATTTGGTTGCTGGTACAGTATTGACACAGATCATGGCACCATATTCCCTACATAGTGCACTACTTTTGACCAGAGGCCTATGGGCCCAGGTCAAAAGTAGTGCACTATATAGGGAATAGGTAGTGTGTGATTTAAGACGAAACCAATGAGATTATTTGATTTCTGTTCCTCCTGTAGTGTTGGTGCTAACCAGAGACTAACTTTTGTGTTAACTACAGTCAATGATAGATTATCACATAAAATACTTAAATAAAAGGAAACAAATATGAAAAACAGAATTAAATGCATGGTTGTGTTGACTAAACAAAATGGACCAAGACCCGATCAGAACGCAAATTAATTCAGACCAGGGCTCTCCAACTCTGCTCCTGGAGAGCTACCCTCCTGTAGGCCCCGTGTAGCTCTGTTGGTAGAGCATGGCGCTTGCAACGCCAGGGTTGTGAGTTCGATTCCCACGGGGGGCAAGTATGAAAAAACAACAACAACAAAAAAACATGTATGCACTCACTAACTGTAAGTCGCTCTGGATAAGAGCGTCTGCTAAATTACTCAAATGTAAATGTAGGTTTTCACTCCAACCCCAGTTGTAACTAACCTCATTCAGTTTATCAACCAGCTAATTATTAGAATCAGGTGCACTAGATTAGGGTTGGAGTGAAAACCTACTTGACAGTAACTATGCAGGAACAGGGTTAGGTTAGGGTTAAAACCTACTAGACAGTAACTATGCAGGAACAGGGATAGGTTAGGGTTAAAACCTACTAGACAGTAACTATGCAGGAACAGGGTTAGGTTAGGGTTAAAACCTACTAGACAGTAACTATGCAGGAACAGGGTTAGAGCCCTGATTTAGACTATGTCTAAGTCATCAATAAATTCATGATTGTCCTGCATATCCCTCTAGTAAGATAACTCATGCAGTTGTATTCACCAGGACATTCAAGATCAGATGCAGAAAAAAAACACATGCATAAGATGTCTGAAAACAGACAAATGATCCCACAAGCCAAACGTCACAAGGTTGCACTTGTGTATTTAGTAGAAACATCTAAATGTAGCTATTGACTATGTTTGACATATTTTTTAATATTTGGACTATTCTATGTCGTACGGATTGCATAACAACAACACACACTTTGGAGTCTTGATATTTAGGGCCATAATGACCCTTTCTAAAAGATGGCAGCATATAATGAGACTTACAGGGTTTCCAAGCAGCAGTCACGTGATGAAAACACATTTACAGGTGCCTTACGTACTAACGGTTTGTTCAAGGAAAACAGGCCTCATACTTGGGGCCTGACAAAGAAAACCTCCAGACCAAAATCAAAAGCTATACGGAGTTAGGCTTTAAACCCTATGCATAGGCCTAGCCAAAGATCTACTATGCTTTAAGTGATGGCACAGAAAAAACACCTTCTTATGACACATGACCTTGGACAAAATCATTTCACATTGATAGCTGCCCTTTCTTATTCAACTGCGACCCCAAAGCAAGAGCATTATTGAAAAGACCGCAGTAGTGCCATTAAGAATGAGAAAATCCACGTATGGCTTTATTCATGTAAAGTTTAAAACATACCCCCTTTTTTTCCTGTTCATTCTGGCCTGTTGCGTCGTCTGAGCCCAGTTGTAGGCATTTCTTCTGGAATGCTCTGTGCTACCCCTATGACCTCAATGTTTGTTTCACAATAATCCTCCAAGGAGGGCATGACCTCACTGTCATATTTATCCTCCTCCTCCTCCTCCTCCTCCTCCTCCTCCTCCAGCTGCTCCTCCTCCTCCTCCTCCCCTCCAGCGTCTGTCGCTGAGTACTTGTCCTTGGCTTCGGGGTGGTGATGCTGGTGGTGGACTGGCTCTGGTGCCTCTTTCCCGACACCACTTTGTTCATCTGCCGCAGAAGCGACCCCCTCTGGCGGGGTGTCGTCGTGGGCTGCCAGAGACTCGATGAGGTCATCCAGGTTCCTCTCGCACTGCGGCTCTGAAAGATGGAAAATAGCAAAAGTTGCGACCATGCGCCACAGTCACCCCATTTCAGGATGGGTGTGTTGGAGTCAGGTAACCCATTTCAGGATGGGTGTGTTGGAGTCAGGTAACCCATTTCAGGATGGGTGTGTTGGAGTCAGGTAACCCATTTCAGGATGGGTGTGTTGGAGTCAGGTAACCCATTTCAGGATGGGTGTGTTGGAGTCAGGTAACCATTTCAGGATGGGTGTGTTGGAGTCAGGTAAAGATACGGCTTACATGTCATGTTTTGATGTCAATATTGCTCATGTGGATCATGTATGATGGCGTGTTACTCTTCCTGCCCAACTCATTTTCCACAGGACAAATAAAGTTCATTGAATAAAAATAAAAAAATAATCCATACACGTTTGTTCACTGTATTAAATGGTCAGAAAGTTACTTTTTGGACCTGAATTCCAAACCATTTAGGAGATAGAGGTGCTCAAAGCTGGCCCATTTTGGATACCCCACCATACCAAAAAAAACAGGATAATATAAAATAGGGAACGCAAAAGAAAACATTGAAATTTGTTTTTGTTTTTTTGCAACGGAAAACAAAAATGTCTTTATTTTTGTCCAGGGGACTCATTTATCAACCGTGCTGATTTTCTAACTTAACTCTAGGCACGTTGAAATCCTAGGATTTGCGTACGCAACAAATTAATGGAATTGATCAGACTGGCGCTCAATGTTTTCATTGATTAATCAGAACCATAGATGCGCAAACATGAACAAACATTACAACCCCGCCTGGAAAACACTGTGTATTCAACTTTTATGGTGACAAAAAGGCCCTCATTTGCGGTATGAATTGGAACTAGGCAGCTGCGGTTTCTAAAAAAAAGGGCAATGGTCAATTTGATCACATTTCTGTGGAGGTGTTGGCAGAATGTTTTCATCTTTTGCAGTGACTTTTTCAAACTAAACATGCGAGAGCCTAACTCTGGCCGTGAATTGCGCCAGATTGACTGTCCATTAGAGAAATGTTCAACTAAGTGCTATAGCCCACACTGCTTCAACGCAAAAGACAAACTGTTGTTCAATATTTTGTTTATCAATAGATGATCGCGTTTCTATCTCCTGCCTTGGTATAGGCTCTGAGGTTTGATAGGTTATGATGTCACACTCCTGCACAGAAATACTCTACCCCATAGCCTACTGTCAAATACTTTAAATAGACAAGCAGCTTAGGCTATTTCCTTTCAGGTAGCTTGGCCTATTGAATGGTAATTATTTGTCGTACAGTGGGGGAAAAAAGTATTTAGTCAGCCACCAATTGTGCAAGTTCTCCCACTTAAAAAGATGAGAGAGGCCTGTAATTTTCATCATAGGTACACGTCAACTATGACAGACAAATTGAGAGAAAACTAAACCAAAAAATCACATTGTAGGATTTTTAATGAATTTATTTGCAAATTATGGTGGAAAATAAGTATTTGGTCACCTACAAACAAGCAAGATTTCTGGCTCTCACAGACCTGTAACAACTTCTTTAAGAGGCTCCTCTGTCCTCCACTCGTTACCTGTATTAATGGCACCTGTTTGAACTTGTTATCAGTATAAAATACACCTGTCCACAACCTCAAACAGTCACACTCCAAACTCCACTATGGCCAAGACCAAAGAGCTGTCAAAGGACACCAGAAACAAAATTGTAGACCTGCACCAGGCTGGGAAGACTGAATCTGTAATAGGTAAGCAGCTTGGTTTGAAGAAATCAACTGTGGGAGCAATTATTAGGAAATGGAAGACATACAAGACCACTGATAATCTCCCTCGATCTGGGGCTCCACGCAAGATCTCACCCCGTGGGGTCAAAATGATCACAAGAACAGTGAGCAAAAATCCCAGAACCACACGGGGGGACCTAGTGAATGACCTGCAGAGAGCTGGGACCAAAGTAACAAAGCCTACCATCAGTAACACACTACGCCACCAGGGACTCAAATCCTGCAGTGCCAGACGTGTCCCCCTGCTTAAGCCAGTACATGTCCAGGCCCGTCTGAAGTTTGCTAGAGTGCATTTGGATGATCCAGAAGAGGATTGGGAGAATGTCATATGGTCAGATGAAACCAAAATATAACTTTTTGGTAAAAACTCAACTCGTCGTGTTTGGAGGACAAAGAATGCTGAGTTGCATCCAAAGAACACCATACCGACTGTGAAGCATGGGGGTGGAAACATCATGCTTTGGGGCTGTTTTTCTGCAAAGGGACCAGGACGACTGATCCGTGTAAAGGAAAGAATGAATGGGGCCATGTATCGTGAGATTTTGAGTGAAAACCTCCTTCCATCAGCAAGGGCATTGAAGATGAAACGTGGCTGGGTCTTTCAGCATGACAATGATCCCAAACACACCACCCGGGCAACGAAGGAGTGGCTTCGTAAGAAGCATTTCAAGGTCCTGGAGTGGCCTAGCCAGTCTCCAGATCTCAACCCCATAGAAAATCTTTGGAGGGAGTTGAAAGTCTGTTGCGCAGTGACAGCCCCAAATCATCACTGCTCTAGAGGAGATCTGCATGGAGGAATGGGCCAAAATACATGTGTGAAAACCTTGTGAAGACTTACAGAAAACGTTTGACCTGTGTCATTGCCAACAAAGGGTATATAACAAAGTATTGAGAAACTTTTGTTATTGACCAAATACTTATTTTCCACTATAATTTGCAAATAAATTCATAAAAAAATCCTACAATGTGATTTTCTGGAAAAAAATCTCATTTTGTCTGTCATAGTTGACGTGTACCTATGATGAAAATTACAGGCCTCTCTCATCTTTTTAAGTGGGAGAACATGCACAATTGGTGGCTGACTAAATACTTTTTTCCCCCACTGTATAGTAGCAGGAATAAACAATTAATGTCAGAAAAGGAGATGTCCTGCAATATGACTATGATTTACATAATGAAAGAAAAATAAATATACAAGTCCACCGATCTCCTTACCAACGGAAAATGTGCATCTGTTTTATCATTATGCTTGAATGTGTTTATTAGCATTGTTATTAATTACAGTAATTCCTGTGTCACCAAGCAACGCAGCTTCCCCAAAATAACAATATTTGCTTGCAATACAATTCTTCAACCACTAGAAGTTGTGCGTAAGCACAGTCTGAGGTGTGTGTGGAGCTACGTACACTTTCCCCTAAAGTTCAAATATGATCAATATCAACCCTAGCGAGAAAACATGCGGAACGCAGGGTTGTCTTTTTTGTGCGTATGCACCTTTGATAAATGAGGCCGCAGGTACTCCCTGTTCGTCTGTTTTCTTCCATTTGGTGCCTAATGAACATGCCCCAGCAGGAGGTGGGGTCACATACCTTCAATGTTGAGAGGTGGACAGTCCATGCCTCTCTTCTTCATCAGGTGGCGGATGGACTGGAGCTGGGACATGATCTCGTTCTTCTGTTCCTGGGCCACAGACTTGACACTGGAGAGGAGCGAAATGGACAGAAGAGAGTGAGATCACTGAGGACAGAACTCTGGGAAACGCAGTCCCTGACCGGTTGCCCTTCGTAGGTTCAGTTCATAGCTCCGGGATTAAGTTTCTCTAGGTACAGATCTAGGATCAGCTTCCCCAATCCTAATCTTAACCATTAGTCAGGGAAATGCGAAACAGACTCAAAATCTACGTCTAGGCCCTAGGGGCCACTTCACCCCACACCCAGTTGATACAGAAATGTGCTTTGAACTAGATTTAGTTACCCACGGTCTTTAAAAGTTCAGTTCACTAAGGTCAGGTTTAGTACGCAGGTACCAGATGAGAGAAAGTACAGAGGCGAAAATACCTAGACTTGACAATCTATCAACATTTCTTTTGAAAACATTATCTCCCATTTGGTGCCTGGTCAACACACCCCAGAGTCCCATTACGATAAACGCTATTAGATTCAGCAGGGTCGACAGTGTCAACAGTTTATCAAGACCATGCGATGTGACCTTACAACTGCATAACTACCTGGTTTGGATAAACTGGTCTTAATCACGACAGACATGTATTTAATTACATGGGGTGATATTTACAGAGCAATATTTACACAGAAACAGAAGACAACCGGAGCTCTGTAGTTTAATGGGTGAGTTGGCTTACTTACCAACTTGTCAATGGGTCCAGTTGGGTGAGAATGGAGTTGAGCATCTTCTCTGTTTGCGCTAGCCGCTGCTCCAGCTCTGTAAGCTGATTCTCTATGGAAAGATACAAAGCCACCAGCATGTAAAACCATGTAAAAAAGCATCTGCATGACGGGGAAGATAAACAAAGGTATGCAAACAGACCCTTGTGGCACACCACAGCTACAGCACAAACCACAGACACAGCACACACCACAGACACAGCACACACCACAGACACAGCACACACCTGTCTCCTCCGACTTCTTGGGACCTTGTGCATCCTTCTTCTTTTGGGCTTGGGAGTCATCTGCAGACTTGATCTTGGAGATAGAAGGGAGACATCCATTTTAAAGTCTGAGCAGTATGTGTGTTTAGTCGACTCAGGCTCAGACTGCCAGTATTACCATAGTTCACACAATCACGTTTGCTCTGATTAGCAATCAACTTTACTCCAATCCTGCTCTCTGTCTGTGTGTGTATGTGTGTCTGTCTGTGTGTGTGTGTGTGTGTGCATGCATGCTTGCATGTTTAGAGATATCACCAAGCAACCTCATCACAATCATCATTGCTACAACATTTTTCAATGGTGGAATTCCTGCTCCAGCCGATACCTTCAGAAATTTGTACGCTGCAAAGAGGCCGACTCCGATGGCGTAGAGTGGCATCAGCGTGAACACGTAGCCCTTGTTGCTGTTGGTTTTGTATTTGTCACCCTTCATCTCCTGCTCCATCATCATCTTCATCTGTTGCATGTTCTCCAGGGTCTGAGCTTTGTTCATGGAGCCGGCCGTGTTCATGTTGACAGGCTGCCCTCTCACTGCACCTGGTCCTGGTCCAGGTCCCGGACCCACTGGGAAATAACACATGAGAGAAGAAGAAGATGATGATGATGATGATGATAAACAGGCCTATTCATGACAGTTGTCTTATTGCTAAAGGCTTAAGAGGCTACCATGCTGCACACTTTTACAAATAGACAGATATCTTGTTTTTAATAAGTTTGACAAGTTTGAACATAGTAAAACGTTAGGCTACTAAACAAATATACCATGGCAAGAGCAAAACATTGTATAGGCCTACACAATATGACGGTGGCGTCACATTGCCAAATCCAATACCATTTTTAATTCATGCAACCTTTTCTGTTGTAGCGTGCATCAAAACCTCTTGTTTCCTTCGCCCCGGACCCTACGCCGAACATTCTAGGGAACACCACAAACGCAAATAACACCGCCGTAAATGCGACCACCACTTGTTGAGACGATGAGAAAACCATATTCTTCTGCAACGTAAAGCACCAGAACAGCGACGAAAACAATCGGAGCCTTTGGTCCAGACGTACAACACCGAATCTTTAGCGCTTCTAGGCTATTACGCAGAAGGGACACTGACTCAATGACGTTTCAAACTGAAAACCACCCAAACCCTGTATTGACCACTGAACCGTGCTGACTGAAGATAAACAGCTGCAGCTGCTGCTGCTTCTTCTTCTTCTTCTTCTTCGTCTTCTTCGTTGGGATTTGGTTGGCGGATCGCATCCAACTTTCAGGTGCATACACCGCCGCCTACTGTACTGGAGTGTGAGGCCAGTCACAGCCTATCAATACTGAACAAAAATATACATGCAAAATGTAAAGTGTTGGTTCCATGTTTCATGAGCTGAAATAAAAGATCCCAGAAATTTTCCATACACACAAAAAGTTTATTTCTCTCAAATTTTGTGCACAAATTTGTTTACATCCCTGTTAGTGAACATTTATCCTTTACCAAGACAATCCATCCACCTGACGGGTGTGGCATATCAATAAGCTGATTAAACAGCACGCTCAATACACAGGTGCACCTTGTGCCGTGCACAATAAAAGGCCACTCTAAAATGTGCAGTTTTGTCACACAACACAATGCCATAAATGTCTCAAATTTTGAGGGAGCATGCAATTGGCATGCTGACTGCAGGAATGTCCACCAGAGCTGTTGCCAGATAATTGAATGTTAATTTCTCTACCATAAGTCGCCTCCAACATCGTATTAGAGAATTTGGCAGTACGTCCAACCGGCCTCACAACCGCAGACCACGTGTATGGTGTCGTGTGGGCGAGGGGTTTGCTGATGTTGTTACAGTTTTTCTCAATTGTTTACACACAAATACTGGTACTTGAGACACAATGACCACAACATGTAACTCATGCACCAACCCCCTGAACCAATTCTGCTAAACTACAAGCACAATTCCTGCTTTACACTCAAATCTTTGCATTTGGCACAATTTTCATGCAGGAAATCTCTTATTTTCACAATGAACACACTGCCATTCAAATATGCACACTGACTCATCACATGGGCAAACACCCGTTACACAATTTTACAATTAGCAATCAGAGCTTTAGCATAAAAGGGCAACAGGTGAGCTCTTCTGTTTTGGAGCAATGGATGCCAACATTGGAAACAGAGGCAGAGCCAGAGGAGTGAGAGTAAGAGGAGGAGGACGGGGAGGACAAGGACGAGGACGAGGACGAGGAAGGCCAAGGACCGTAATCTCTGATGAGATCCGAGCCACTTTGGTTGATCATGTGGTCAACCATGGTCTAACAATGAGGGAGGCTGGGCAAAGAGTACAGCCAAATTTGAGCAGGTACACTGTAGCATCCATCATCCGGACATTCCGAAATGAGAATAGGTAAGAAATCTACTCTCACTAGAAAATTGCAGTACTGCATATCAATACAGTACTCAATGAGTACAGTAGTACAGTATTGCCTGTGGACTGTTCTGTAGGACTGTACAAATAAAGTATGTTTCAAGTATTTGGGAAATGTATTTCTACTTTGTATTTTACAGCATTTTACTATTTGTTTGGCAGAACTGAAAGATTACCAACACAAGGTGGTCGGGAACGTGTTCTGTCTCCTGAACAGGAAACTGAAATCATGAACATGGTCCTAGAAAATAACACCATAACATTACGGCAAATACAAAGAAAAATAATAGAAAACAATGAGATATTTCAAAATATTGATAGGGTAAGCTTATCAACACTGGACCGTGTCTTGCGCAGAAATAATCTCAGAATGAAGCAGGTCTACAGGGTGCCATTTGAACACAATTCAGAAAGAGTCAAAGAATTGCGATATAACTATGTGCAAGTGAGTCCTATACAATCCCACAATTGATGCATACTCTCAACACTGTATAAATTATACATATTTCAGTATTGTAATCATAATGATTGTGCTTCACAATAGTGACCACTCCATGTCTATTTCTGATATTGTCATGTGTGTTTCAGAGAGTCCTTGAGCTAGAGGTGGCTGCAGTGGAGCACCAGTTCATCTTCATTGATGAGGTTGGATTCAACCTCACAAAAAGACGAAAGAGGGGAAGGAATATCATCGGCCAGAGTGCCATTGTTCAAGTTCCTGGCCAGCGCGGAGGGAACATCACAAAGTGTGCAGCGATTACCCACCACGGCGTCATCCATCACCATGCTACCCTTGGCCCCTACAACACCGCCCATCTGATCACATTCCTGGACACCCTACACAACACACTCATTCCACCAGATCAGGTAGATGGCCCAGAGCAGCTCAGGTACGTTGTCATTTGGGACAACGTAAGTTTCCACAGTGCTGCTCTGGTTCGTAACTGGTTCACTGCCCACCCACGCTTTTTAGTTGTTTATCTCCCTCCATATTCTCCATTCCTCAATCCTATTGAGGATTTTTTTTCTGCCTGGAGATGGAAAGTGTATGACCGAAATCCACAAACGCGTATACCTCTTCTCCAAGCTATGGAAGACGCATGTGGAGATACAGCAGCTGATGCTTTTCATGGCTGGAATCGCCATGCTAGGCGATATTTCCCCCGCTGCTTGGCCAGGGAAAACATTGCTTGTGATGTGGATGAGGTGCTGTGGCCAGACCGCAACAGAAGAGAGGATGCAGCATAGTTTTAATTTTTTATATTTTTTACTGTAACTGTATACATTAAATTCTTCTGTTTTGTATGTAGACCACTGTATGTGCAACTTTGTGTTGGTTGGGAATGGGATGTACACTGTGTACATTGTTTTTGTGGGAAAAATGAAATATATTTGTTACCGTGTATTTGTGTGTTCTGAGTATAAAAACAATATTCTCAAATATTTTACAACACACTTATGTATGTACTGTCTGTAGTAATGGCAACACTGAACCAAAAAAAGGCCTAAGTCATTATGATGAATGGAGAAGAAGTGTTTTCCATTCATCATAGTGTTTTACATTGAGCACATCAGTGTTCAACTGGTTCTTATAAATGTATATTCATATGATGGTTTGTGTGTGTCATTTGAAAACAAAATACCATTTTGATAAGAAATAACATTGTTTTGAATGTAAAGTTTCATTTTTCTGGATAATTGAGGGGTTTTGCCCATTGTGTGTGTGTTTTTTGATTTGTGTGTAGAGTTCTGAGAATATGAGGCATGCTTTCAGAAAATGTGTGTAAACAATCGAGAAAAACTGTAACAAAATGTTGGACTAATTGCACTTGGCACTTGCACTATGAAACTGCACTTACCCTGCCTATTTGCTTGTAAATATCCTTTGCTATTTAAAAAATAAATAAAAATATGTGATGCGTTTTATGACTGCTGCAAAATAAATTGCCTCTCTGGGGACATTAAAGTTTTCTGAATCTGAATTCATTACCATACGAAAGTGACATCATTGTTTGTGCTGTAACAAATTATTTTGAAATCCAGAAAGTTGAACAAACGTTCTTCTTTTTTTCCCTTTTTTATATATGAACAGAAACAAGAGCATCTTTCAACACCAAGTATTTTAGGAGAAAAACATTTTGTTCAAGAATGAAAAAGCCTGTATATAATAACTGACACAAAGTAAAAGGGACTAGATTAAGACGAAAAGGTCAATAGTGGTGTTAGTTATGCACTAGTACTAGCTGTTTGTGTGTGAGTGAGTGAGTGAGTGTGTGCGTGTGTGTGTGTGTGTGTGTGTGTGTGTGTGTGTGTGTGTGTGTGTGTGTGTGTGTGTGTGTGTGTGTGTGTGTGTGTGTGTGATGCTCATGGAACAGATGTTTTGACCTAGCTGTGTGTGTGTGTGTGCTTACAGGATAGGTTTTGTGACTTGCCTCAAGCAATTTTATGTTTTCCACATGACTGGTAGGTGTCATGAAGCAGAGCCTGACACACAGTGAACTATTGATGGTTGTGAATTACAAGTAGTAGTGGTAGTGACGGCAGTAGTAGTGGTAGTAGTAGTAATGGTAGTAATAGAGTTGTCATCGGCTATGGGTTAGTTAAAGTGAGTTGTTTTGGGGTGGTTTGTAGGTGTGGAGTTATTATAGTGGGTTATAGTGGGCTTGTATTGTAGGCTAGAGGGAGTACTATAGCATTATAAGCCATAGAATGGGTTTTTAAGCTCTCAAAATGTTTTAGTTTGAACACCCTGTAAGTTCTGTGGCAGTGACTCCAGTTAAGAATGTTGAAGCCTGCATTCCATCATTGAAATAAATGACAACAAGCTTTATAGTATATAAAGTATGAATGGTAGCAAAAATATGTGTTGAAGCAATCTAAATTGAGTTAGTCTGCACATTTCAGTGTTTGGTTGGTATTTATAGTTTAAACTCTTCAAGAGCAGTGGCGAATCCATTTTGCCTTTGAGGTCTGCAGAGCTTTTATGCAAATTTAAATTGGTTATAGTTCCAAAAGTACAAATAGAATCCACAATCTTTTGACGAGCAATCTAAGTTGAGTCAGTCTGTACATGTCAACATTGGTTTGGTGTTTTGTAGCTTTAACGGTTCAAGAGCTGTGGCAAATTCAAATACTTCCAATTGTAGCCTATATGCAAATTTGACATGGTTATAGTTGAAAGATGTATGCAAGCAACCTATTCCAGAGATGTCTGTCACCAGTCTGTAGCCCTAATTATCTATCTCTGCAACTCCCGTACTGACTTGGGAGAGGTGAAGGTCGAGAGCCATGCGTCCTCCGAAACACGACCCTGCTAAGCCGCACTGCTTCTTGACACACTGCTTGCTTAACCCGGAAGCCAGCCGCACCAATGTGTTGGAGGAAACACCATACAGCTGGCGACCTCAGTCAGCGTGCATGTGCCTGGCCCACCACAAGGAGTCGCTAGAGCGCAATGGGACAAGGAAATCCCGGCAGGCCAAACCCTCCCCTAACCCGGACGACGCTGGGCCAATTGTGCACCGTCTCATGGGTCTCCCGGTCACAACTGGCTGTGACACAGCCTGGGATCGAACCCG